TTTGCAATTTCGGCCTTAAAACTTTATAAACAATAAAAGTACGTTTGCTATCTTCATTTTATTGTTTATAAAGTTTTAAGGCCGAAATTGCAAAATCAGCCCTTGGAGTCGCATCCGCCAAAGTGTAACGAATATATTAAAACCAGAATTATTAGAAAATATTGCTTCTTTAAGGATAGAGCTCAATGGCGTATATTTCATCGATGCTACGTTCGCCGCGCATGCGCGGAAAAACGCGTCCCGGTGGCCATCACTGTCTGGGCATATAACGGAGTGGGGGAAGTATTCCGCGCGGCGCGAAAATTTATCCGATGTCTTCGCGACTTTATACCTTCTATCCACTGTACACTAGTTTCGGCCAATAAACACTGCGATGAATGCTAAAATCGAACCATTTCTGTCTCGCGGAAATATTAACGAACTCGATTTTTCTGCTACACGCTGTTAAAAAGATACGAGGAGCAATGCTTACTGAAAAGGTATCCGATCAAAAGAATTTAATAAGTATTCTTTGTACCCCGATGCTCCTAAGCGCCGCACACTTTTAATACGATCACTCACTATGTATATATGTGTATCCTACGTAATCACGTATTTTGTACAGCTTGGCAACGCGATAAATGAACCCTGCGAGGAGAGAACGCTGTTTCTTTAGCCACCTAACAGATTTTTTATACAATATTGTTGTCTTCTGGTTTCGATATGCTTGATTCTTTTCAGTATAAGCCTCGATCCGGAGGAAGACGTGCAAGACCCCGAATTGTTCTCTGGCTTGGCGACCTTCCTCGACACCGACTTGGATCCCGCGGAGCGGGACCAGGTCCTAGCGAAGACTATACCGCGAATGGTGGAAAGAGCGAAAGCCTTGAGGTCTTGCAAGCCTCCGCAAGGCCTGCACTTCAGCCTCCAACAGCAAGGTGACTTTTCAACTGACTCGCTCGTGTAAAACGGACCGACCCCTTTGTCGTTTCGCCTCGCGCCAGGCTGACGGGCTGAAAAATAAAGCAGCCTCTGGAAATTGTCCTTGAAGAGGGGTATGTAAGTTTATCGAATGTTCATCCGTTACCTGAAACTACATAATGTACATGATGTATATATTCACACATATTTCCGTGTATGTACAGGGTGTCCCAGCCTAAGTGATACGGAGCTTTAACTCCAAAATTATAGGCCGAATGGAAAATTTCAAATATGGAAATTGCATGGTAAAATGTTTCATGGTAAAAGGCTCATGTTTCAGCGAGAAGGAATTTTTGTTGACTTTATTATTTAACGAGACATGATGGTCAAGTTTCGTTTTTCAAATGGAACTACATATTTTTTTTTTTTTTGTATCATGCGATAACACTTTTCAAGACGAATTCATTAAGCTTTAATGTATTTACCCGATTTTTATTAGTTTTTAAGCTATAAACACTTCAAAGTTTGCTAATTTTTAAGGAAAAATCACGGGCGGTCCCATTGATGCAGTAAGCACCATGCGGTTCTTGAAATCGATACGGAGGAAAATGGGAAGAATCCCAATTATTCTGGGCCTAGAATTCCAAGCGAGACCCTCCGTATCGTATTTCAAGACCGCCCGTGATTTTTCCTTGAAAATTAGCAAACTTTGAAGCGTCCTATCTTCAAAGCTAATAAAAATCGGGTAAATACATTAAAGCTTAATGACTTCGACTTGAAAAGTACTATCGCATGGTATACAAAAAAAATATGTAGTTCCATTTGAAAAACGAAACTTGACCATCGTATCTCGTTAAATAACAAAGTTAACAAAAATTCCTTCTCGCTGAAACGTGAGGCCCATTTTACCATGCAATTTACATATTTGAAATTTTCCATTCGGCCGATAGTTTCGGAGTTAGAGCGCTGTATCACTAAGGCTGAGACACCCTGTATACATTCGATATTTACTACTAACATGTTTAAAATTGAAATTAAAAAATTTAAGATGGTAATAGATAAACGTTTGATAAAGTTGCATACCCGTGTTCGACAAGAATTTCCAAAAGCTACTTTATTTTTCAGCCGACCATCCTGGCGATTACCGCTTAATACGACACCGAGGAAGACGATATTGTAACCTATGCCGTAGGTGACTGCGTCGAATACAGCTACGCCTTCGCCTCGTCTCTGATCGCGAACGCGTTCTTCTCCACGTATCCGAAGAGAACCGCGAAAACTCACCCCACCTTGCGCGACTTCAATTTCACGAATTTCTTCAAGCATCTACGCAAGTAAGGAGAACCAGGCCCACGCGTGCCGGGTAGAGAAATATCTCGAAGGTACCTAAAGACGCGACGAGAAATATATTATGAAACCTTGGTTGTTTCTAGCAACGGACAGAAAGCGAAACTGAGAAGCATATTTCATTACTACGACTACCTTGAAACCGAGAGCGCGTTGGATGGGAAACTGGTGATATCTAGACAGGTATCGTATACTACAGTATAGACTGGATAAGTGCGAGAAGTTTTTGTTCTGTTTACATTTAGTAGAAAATAGTCTCACCGATATCTCGGTTAGAATCATATTACACTGCTCAAAGGGGACTTCCCTCAGTGGTAAGAATACTTGCATTGGTTCTTATTCAGTTAATCCTGTCTTGCACTTATCCAATCGTCACTGTATAGCATATATATTAGGTCGAGTCATAAGTAACTTCCGATGCAACTAAGTAGAATCTCGTTGTTCGTATCTACCCTCTATGAGTTACCATGACAACAAGTTTTTGTTTTCGCTATATGGACGAGACTTCTGTTAGTCTTTTATCAACTGTTTTGTGTGATACACGTTACGTTAAACTGGTTTTTTTCACCTCTGAAATGGATAGTCAAAAAGTACGTATTCGTCATGTAATGCTTTGGGAATTTAAACAAGGCAATAGTGGTAAGGCGACAGCTGACAAAATGTGCAGCGTATATGGTGAAGGACTAATAACTGATCGGGCAGTTAGAAATTGGTTTATAAAATTCCGTTCTGGAGATGCGACCTTAAAAGACGAACCGAGGGCGGGACGTCCTTCCGACTTTGACGACAACCTTTTAAAGGCAATATTGGAGCAAAATCCACGTCAATCAACAAGAGGTATAACAGAAAGGTTGAATACATCACAATCAACTGTTAACCGCCACCTGGAGAAGTTAGGGAAGGTCAGCAAGCTAGGAGTATGGGTACCTCGCAATCTCAGTGAACGGAATAAAGAAGACCGCATGTCAATCGCCACAAGTCTGCTCTCACGGGTAAAAAATGAACCCTTTTTAAACAGGATTGTAACAGGCGATGAGAGATGAGTTACCTATGACAATATAGTCCGCAAAAGACAGTGGCTTGATAAGGATCAACCATCCCTAGCAGATCCGAAAGCAAACATCCATGGCAAAAAGATTTTATTGTCTGTATGGTGGGATTGTCAAGGAATAATTCACCACGAATTGTTGAAGTCAAATTTAACGATTACTGCAGATAGATACGTTCAGCAGTTGCAAAGAGTACAAAAGAAACTCCATGAAAAGCGTCCTGCACTCGTCAATCGCAGAAACGTCACTCTTTTACACGACAATGTGCGACCACATACAGCAAGGGTGACTCAAGAAAATATTCTTGAGCTTGGATGGTCTATTTTACCACATCCACCTTACTCCCCGGATCTTGTCCCGACAGATTACCACCTTTTTTGTTTCTTACAAAACTTTTCGGATGGAAAAACCTTCAATTCTGAGGAGCAAGTCGGGCAAGGCTGTCGAAAACTTCTTCCAGTCCAAACCAACCACATTTTACAAGGATGGAATTGATAAACTCCCAGGAAGATGAGAGGAGGTTACAGATAATAGTGGTGAATACATAATAAATTAATATAATTTTGTTATTTAAAGAGAGCAAAATAAATGTCTGATAAAAAAACGGAAGTTACTTATGACTCGACCTAATAGTATAGCATACTTGACGCTGTTGCACGTCTTAAATGAAACGCACGGTCTTCACGCAACCCCCGCTGTGTGCAGTGCCTATTTTCAATTCTTTTCGCGACTTTCAGGTGATGACATCGAAGCAATGGTTGACCATCGAGGACTGGCTGGAGAGCAACGTCCCCCTGTGCCCCCTAATGATACGTCACGAGGGTCGCCTAGAGAGAATAGAGCCCGAAACAAAAGTATTGCGCGTTTGCTTCGCGAGCGCCAAGTTTGGCGGCGGCGTACTTGACGGTGATGTTACGCAAGAAACTGTACATGTAAATAGTTGAAACGCGTGAGAAACGTAACTTCGAATCTGAGTTAATCCACATAATCCACGTAAAAAATAAAAGAACATAATGCAACCGAACTCGTCAGAGACCGAGCGTGGCGCTGATGAAGAGACCACGGAAAATGATAGTAATTAATTTGTTGTCTTCAGATAGCAACGCATCCCGAAATGCTCGCGGCGATACTGTCCGTCGAGTCGCTAGAGGACAATGAAGTTTTAATTGTCGAGGGCGTTAGGCACGTGTCTAGAATAAACGACCCTCGCAACAGGGCCACGTTCGAGGGCCTGACGAAGCCGAACGTTGTGAGTACACCTGCATCCGTCGCCTTTCCTCCAGTCTCTATTGGGTTGTAACATACAACGAGCCGTGGAAGTACTCTGCATCATCTGTAATCGATACACCGAGATTTATTTCCGAAATCCTACTAATTATAACAGTATTGACCCTAAACGTACCATGGTCGTATCGCATCTTTCAAAATCCTTAGATTCCAGAAATAGAGATACATCGTATCCTATATTGAGAGTCAGAGAGTAAAGATCTTTACTTCTTTACTTCTTCTTTAATATAAAATTTCCTTTAATAAGTTCAGAATTTCTTTCTAAAAATCACCGTTTATTTCACAAGGGGTCAAAGAACCTCCGGTGGTAAGAATAGGTACGTTTAGTGTCGAGCGTGCGAATAAAATATGTTACAACCCAATATTCAACGTACTCTGATTCAAACGATGCGTCCCTCCGACACGTCTCAGGTGACAGTGTGCTGCATCGACCCGGAGGACTATTCGAGGATGCCCCTGTCGCAGTTCGAGGAAGACAATATACTTCGGGAGATGAACAAATCCCTGCTCGGATTTCGACAGAGACGCGTACCGACTAGTCCCACCGATCCTGTGAGATCGGAGCTAGAGCCAGACGGAGCGTTAAGTTCCAGAAGGTTGTCGCCGATCGGGGAGAGCTTTAGCAGCACTCCACCTGAAACGGATGGCGACGATAAGGCGATGTCGACGAACAGTGGCGCCAAAGATGGTACACCGAACGTTCTACAGAATTTAACGAACGACGCGAATCTGATTAATTAATTCCAATTTTGTTTCAGCGAAATCCGTGTCGAACGAGCAAAGCAAATACGATATTTTGACGGAAGTTCGTACCAGGCCGAACGGTAAATCCGTGAGACCTCCAAGCCCTCACAAGATGTGCAAGGACGCGAGTTGTACCACTAGAAGAAGTCGATTTATCGTTCTTGGGTCTAGCGGCGAGGTTTTACCGGTAACGAGAAAATCGCTGGGTCAGATGTCTGTTTACAGTAGTTGCAATAGCCAGAGCACGGATAGCTTCCATAGCGCTAAAGATATCATAGACGAGGATCCAGGTGCGTGATTAATATCCACCAAGTGTGAAAATTATCTACATTCTATGATCTGTAACGCGTTTACGCGTTGTAATTCGTAGAGGAAGAAGAACAGAAATTCAGTAGACGCTACAGCGGCCAGTTGGACACCCCCGAACGAAGGGGAACGTTTGCTCAGCGTCTAAGGGACGCTTTGAAGCGTGAGAGCACAGCTACCGGAGCTACTTCGTCGAATACGTCGTCCGGGGAGAGCAGCTACGCGGTAGGGATAAGCGTATCCGGAAGTCACGTCTACGACCAGGACATCAAGTAAGGAAGCTTCTGTAAAATACGTGAAATTTTATGTCTACATAAGTAGACATAACATAAGTCCAACAACGATTGGAAAAGAATCGTTGAAGTTACCAATTTTTTGTGCTAATCTATTCAACATAGAGCTCGCATTATCGATTGATGCAACATATGTGTTAAATTATCACAAAAATATTGGTTGACCATTTGGGACACACGATCCGTGTTGAATTTCACACAAAGTTTTCGACGAAGCAAGGTTCTTCAAAGGAAATATTGTAGGGTGAAGAGAGGAGGTTCGAGAGGCTTCGTTCTAAGAGACGAAACCGTGGACGAAGAGTTCTTGAAAGAATCGTTGGAGGCTGAACAGAAATGGCTGGGTAGATTTCGACTGAATCAATCCACGCTACAGAGAAGGGACACGAGCGCTAGCAGTAGATACAGTTTCAGCACCGAATACAATTCTGGCAAGTATCGCGAAACATCGTTGTAAACACCTTTCGTCAGTCTCTAAATATAACTGAGCAGACTTGTCCTGGTGCGTTCAGATTTTTGCTCGGAGCTCGAGGAGGTTTACGAGCAGCTAGCGAAATGGTTGGAAGACCCTATAGCGGCGGACGAGTCTCGCGAATTAGACGCGAGGGACAGGGCGGTAGTTCGATTCGCGGGCTCGTTGTTAAAGAGGGCCCTCAGCGAGTCGTTCGCCGGTGTACCGGTTCAGGAAGGCGAACCTCAACCCCTCATTGATTCCGTCGATGTGAATCAGAGGCACAAGTTGGCTTTGGCCGTGAGAAGTTTGAGTTTAGAGCTAGCACGTCAAAAAAATAGGAGGCAACAATCAGTAAGAAACGATTACGCACTTTCTTTTCTTTTCTCTCAACCCTTCGAGTGCTAAGCAACACGCTTTCCTAATTAATTATTACGTTAAAACATTAAAGTGTAAATCTAGACTTGAAAATGAGTGAGTCTAAATATTTGAACTTAATAAATATAACAGAGAGGCATGCGTTCACGGTTCGTATCGATAGTTCATAGCACTCGAAGGGTCAAACAAAATTATCTGATTGCAATAATAACATCAGCAAAATTGAATAGCATTATAACGAATCAAAATTGATTTAAGTTTATTAGAAATTTTCTTTATTTCTCGCAATTGTGTCGACGAAGAATGAGAGACAAACTGAAAACTAATGCTACCCCAGATAATCTCTTGTACATAGCGAAATCTCATCAGATCATTACGACACGCAGGTCTCCGAAGGCGTAGAGTATTACGAAGACGCTTTAAGTAATCGTACGATATCGAAAGAGGTAAAGGATATCCAACGTAGAAAGCTTAGGACGGTAACATTTACATCCGAAGTTTTTCAAACATTGGTTGATGACGAAACTACCGTGTACCTATCTAATCCTGTTTCTTTAAGCGCACCTGGAACTGTTATGGGAAACTTTGCGCAAGAATTCGAATCGCATGTTACATTTAACGTGAGCAAACTTGTCTTACACATATGTAAACTCTCTGTTCCGTAAACGTAATGCATGATACAATAAGTTACTCGACGTCGTCGTTTGCTTGTTAAATACTCTCGCGGCTTAACTGTTCCAGCTTATTGGTGAAAGCATTGGGAATTGATGATTTTGTTTACGTGTTAACGACTGGTTGCATGACGTGTAACAAACGTATACGGTGTAGCACTTGAGACAGATCTTAAAAGTTAACTCGTATGGATCGTCTCAAGTCCCCTCACCATGTATATGCTTCTAATTCACGGTATTGTACCTCTAACGACTAACGATTTGTCTCTCATTCTATCTGATGTATTTTACTCGTACACTTTGTGTTCGATTTTTAACTCGTGTTAATATATAACTTTCCATACTTTCCGTAATAACGTTGCCAAAAATTCGCAAACTTTATACGGTTACTAAACTACATTTTTCTCGTTGTAACTAGCTTGCATCGATCGAGACGATTATCGTTATAATTGTATCGGTTCTGTATTCACTAACGCCACTTTTTAGATGCCGAGAGATAGTAGCCCCCAAGCAGGCGGATTATTGCCTGTCGCTAGTGGTAACTGGGGATGCGGATCCCGACTAAGAGGGGATCCCCAGTTGAAGCTCGTTATTCAGTGGCTTGCCGCTTCTTTGGCGGGTGTACCAAAATTGATGTACTATACCGCAGGAAATCCAAACTTGTCCAAGGTAGTAAACGCCATGCTAATTATTTAGATACTAGAGAATAATCCACGATTTTTATAAATAAAGAAGTAAGCTTTCATCGAGCGTGTAACGATTATTTCAGTTAGACACTGTGAGTAGAGTACTCATGGACAGGCATTGGTCGGTGGGCGATTTAGCCGCGGCTACGTTAAGATTTGCCTTGCAAACTATCGAAGAAAGAATAGAGGGAAGAAATAGTCTCTTCGAGGAGATAATCGGTATGGATAAACCAAGTCCTTAGCCCGACTCCATGCTGTCTGTTTTGGTAGACGTACTTGCTACCATGATCGAAGACAGCCTATTGACTACTTAAACTTGATCGTCGAAGAAGCGCAACGAACGGTTGCGCCTCTTTTGCGATTGGCGAGAGTAAAATCTACCGTGACGATTGACTATGATAAATGTCGCAATGGGAGAAGGGTAAGCGTTTTACAGAAACCTTTAGTTTTTGAAAATTTGTACGAGTCAATCTGGAAACATCGATCTCTGTGGTTTGAATGTTTCATATCAATGCAATATCAAACGAAGCCGCACAATTCAGTGTACAAAAAGATTACATTAAAATAGAAGTTGAGAATACTGTTTAGCGTACTTGTTATAAGAGTGAAGTCAAACAAAGATGTTGAGATACAGTTCTTACGACTGTATTATGATTTCCTGGTGAAAACATTGTCACTTGAATGGAATTTATACAAGTTTAATAGATTAGCCACGCGAAGAGTCAATTCTGATTTACGTTTATATAAGATACGTAACTTTAATACAGTTACCTGCAATAAGTAACGAGGCACAATATATTACACTATATTTTGTACAGTATAATACTTATAAGTCGTTATATATGTCGGGTCGAAGCATATGTAATTACTGAATAGATTTTTAGAAAAGAAGATTTTTAGTCGTATTTTATAGGCCGCTTTTTTATATCGAGTATAATTTATACGAAACGAATTATGTAAATAGTAAAAAGTGAAACGTATAAGGAGAAAGTAACGTGGCCTCTGAAAGTATAAAAGTTTACAAGAAGAAAAACGTATCGACTATAAGACGTCTTCCACTATGAAAACGTGTAAGTGTATCTGTACCTACGACTTGTATACTCTCGGTGTACGTTTTGTTTTGAGCAATATTATGTAGAATGTGTTTCAAAATTCTTTATATGTATGTTGTGTACTGGGAAAAGTATAAATATAAAGCACGTATCAATAAATTTATATCATGGTAATGGAATTTGATATCCTTATCTGTTATGTAGCAGAGTTTGACGTTCTTGAATTAGGTGTCAACTGGTACAATAATTCGATCGAACTTTTGACATTTATTTTGTAAGAGGTACAATATCTATCATAGTATTAAGTTTACTCACCAATAAACTTTACTGCTGTGAATTCCTTAAATTGCAAGAATATTTGCTATAATTTAAGGAGTAAAAAAAGACAAGTATAAAACGCAACGATTTCTATTCACTTATCACAAAAAGAGACTCCGCAAACGGCGACCCACGCCTTGTCTATCGTACAAAATATTGAATTTATTAACAAACTGATTAATATTGTTGCAACCTTTTGTTATGATACCAAGGTAGGTCATCAAACCGAAGTCGTTGCATTGCTGGAAAGAGTCAATAATTTAATGCGTTATACGTGAAACAAAATTCTTACTTGGAAATGTGGATAGCGCGTACTCACATTGTAAAAATCAGCTTTGAATTTGGGATTGTTTAAAACTGGCAATCTGTGTCCCAAAGAACAGGCTGCTCTCAAAACTTCATGGTTTCCTTTCAATTCCCCGCTTTGTACTGCTTGCACGTATTTCAGAACCAATTTTACTCTGGAGTGCAACATTTTTATAGCACTGTGCTGAGCAGTCAGATGCTCTGCAACTGTATAATATTTATTTGAGATTTCATCTTCGATTGTTTGAAGCATTAAGAAACAAATAAATACGAGTTGTATTACCTAAGGAACTTTCTCCTTGATCGTTACTACACATTCTTGCTACATGATCGACCCCAATTCTTTCAGCCTCTTCTGTTGCCAGTGTATAAGTTAATGGAACAAATAGCATTGTAGCTTCCCCATTTACTAAATCAATTACTGACTCGTACATGGAAACGGACAATTGCTATAAAGAATAACAAAATTCCATTAAATTCCACATAATAATTTCAGTCAATAGAAAAATCTGATGTAAATGCATACATCTGTATTTTTTGGTCTTGGGTCAAGTTTCAATAACACAGGACTTTCATTGATCTCGCAAAGCTGCTTGTGCACTCTGATGTCCCTTTCATTGGGCATATCCCCTGTTGTGTACCACCCCAAGAAGTCCATTTCACTGAAGACTTGCTTAAACTGTTCTTCCTTGGTGTTGTAATAATCTCTATCGATTATAACGTCATCTCCAATGCACGTGAACATTAATTCAAAGGAGTTCATGATTTCGATATTACGTCCCTTCTGTTTACCGATCAATGCTCCATAAACTGTAATATATTGAAGTGATGTGAATGTTCCAATTTCTTAACGATACAAACTGTCCTGATTAAAAGCATACCTAACTGATCTGTTCCTTCTTGAGCACGAAGCCTAGTCCAGTGTTCGCTGACATTCATTATGACAAGCGGATGAAGACTAATAGAAACAGACCCAACGGTGCCAGAGGATGCCATCACTTTGATAGCGCTAGGAGGATTCGCGGATACGGTAGGTTTCTTTTCAGCATTATCATCATCGACTTCCATTGGTGTTTCTGTCGGTGCTGCTGCATTGTTTTCGTCAACCTCCATAACGTTTAATTATTCTACTCGTTTGTGGCTCAAAATATCGGTAAATGATCTCTACGTAGTACTTAGCGAGGAATCTCGGCGAAGACGATTATACGGCTCCTAATCGACAAAAAAAAAAACAAATCCTATCATTGTGATACTATTAAACCATCACAGAATTTAGGAGTATGTTTAATGAGTGAAGGTTAACATAAAAAGGTGTCAAAAGAAACCACTAGCGCTGTATCACGCTCGATTGAACTTTCAATGTTTCCTTTTCTTTATAACCTCTATGTACTAAACGTATCTTGAAATAGTACAAATAAAATTGCCATTTTTTTTAGACCAGACTTATACAATACCTAATCAATAACGAAAAATGAATCCTTTTGTTGTGACACTGTCACTTGTCTTCGCTGACACGGACGTACGATAAAAAAAAAAATGTTAGCTCGAAATCATGATGAACGTTCCATTCGGAATTTCGATCAGTCCTATATTAATATTCCTCAGACTGTCAAACTTGAGTGTATGCAAATACAAACAGCTCAAAATAAACTTCCAGCGAGGTAAATTATGCTAGGAATCTGTAGAGATGGTGGTCAATCTACATAGAGTTTGCAATCACGATCAGTGGAGAGCCTTCTATTTTCAATGCGTGAATTCAAACTTGTTGTACAAGTTGATTCGTTTCGTACATCTTTACAGTACACCTTTACGGTGTACAAGGTAGAAATTTATCAATAGAATAAATAAAGGGGAGATTTGTTTAATATAATCTATTAGAAAAACAATGTCCCAAACCATGATTCTCTATCTTGTTTAATTTAGAAATTGTCTCCCAAATCCCCAAAGAACAATTACATAGCGAACCTACGCGAATAAGTCTCAGGGCATTTAATCATTTTTTTATTTATTTATAATTCATCGGAAAATAATGCCGTGAACCGCGGTTCTCTATTTGTGGCATTGTTTTTCTGATAAATTACTCTAAATAAATGTTAAAATCATACTAGAGCCAGAGATGCCATAAATAACTATTCTTTAGGACGTTCAATGTTCTCGATTCACTCCAGCGCAAATAGACACATTCGTAGACAATGTAGACATATATTTAAAATAGACTTTTGTGAGGTAAACTGTACGGACTTCGAATCTGTAAAGCAAGTAGTCAGTCTACGTAGAGTTTGTAATCAAATGCACCAAGCGGTACAGCGGCAAAAAAAAAAAACACTAGTAGAATCGCTGTTGGATACAATGATTTGATATTCCTGAGAGAAAGCGATTTGAAATTACTTATTTATTTATGGGTATCGATACGAAGCGGTTACTGGAATAATTGAGACGACACGATGAAACGTTTGGTCGAAAGAATTTAATTCATCGGGGTTCGTTTACAGACCAGGTCTGACGAAATCGTCGAACAGAAAATTCGCGGTCATTGTTATTGTTCCACATGAAGCGGATTACTTCAAGCGATCATGCGTTCCTGAGTTCGATACAGATACATGATACGATATTGTATCAGTTTGACGTTGATTCATTCGTGTTCATTTTAAATTAAAGATACTATCGTTCGTGTTGCTGTGCAATTAGTTAAATCCTTGGTATAGAATACTGCATCGATTTTAAGTAAGTATGTGTAACGATTATACAATTCACGAAAAGCATTTCTAGGTTAGACGGAACGGATCTCGGTTAATAAAGGGTGCAGTTGATTATAAATATCCAGAAATTCGTGACCGTCGTCACCAAAGCTGTTGGAAGAAATCAGGCCAGAAATAATTATCTCGTGTCAGGTGCCGCTTCTTAATCATATTCTTCGAAACACTATAATTTTTCTGACTTTTCAATCTATGCTTAACATTCAATCAGACAAAATATAAGATCAACTGTACCCTAACTAGACCTACGTAAGAAAGAAAAAGACATTCCTTTGATGATCGTACAAGATTTATCGCAAGATATTACCTAAACGATATTACCTATAGATTATTCCACGTTTTTGACGGTAAAGAAGTATTATGCAGAATTAAAGGTATCAAGTTTTCCTTGGGGGAAGATTTTGCTTGTACTATTGACATTTCGTCGTGATGGAGAAGTTCATAGGAATCCATCAGCTAAAGGGAATACTGAAAAGTTTTCCAAGGAACATGAAGTTTTGCTTTGCATATGGATCCGGTGCATTTAAGCAAATAGACAACGAGTCTAACAATATGTTAGACCTTATTTTCGTTGTTCGTAACGCGAATCAATGGCACGCAGAGAATTTAGAACTCAATCCTAAGCATTACGCTCAGCCATTGAAGCTTCTTGGACATAGAACTATCGCTAATGTACAAGAGAACTGGGGTGCCAAAATATATTATAATACATTGGTTAAAATGTCAGAGGGATGTACCATAAAATATGGAGTAATCTCTGAGGTTTCGCTGGTAGAAGACTTACTAGACTGGAATGACTTGTATTTGGCTGGAAGGTTGCACAAACCTGTGAAAGTATTGGTGGAACCGAGCGAACACTCTCAATTACCTACAGCTTTGGTACAAAATTTACATTCTGCCGTACACGCTGCGCTATTATTGCTTCCGCAACACTTCACGGAAGTCGATTTTTACAAAACTATAGCCGGTCTGTCGTATATCGGCGATTTTCGAATGACTTTCGGTGAAAATAAAGATAAAGTTAACAATATCGTTTTGCCCCAACTGGAACAATTCAAACAATTGTACGCTCCAATTTTGCAACATTTCGAGAATTGTACGGATATGCCAAAGTCGGATCAAACGGGTACCACCTGCCATCAAGATACAAGCCCGGAGACGAAAATACATCATTTGAATCAGTTACCTAGAACACCGCAGGTCAAACTTGTCAGAGCATGGTCGCAGGGTCCAAGATCGAAGGATACCGAGGACTGTCTGCGTGCGATCGCGTACGATCCCGAATGCGGCAAAATACTGGAAGACTCTTTGGAACAAATCGTATGGAGATCAAGCGTCACGCAAAGTCTGAAGGGAATCGTTACTGCTGGGCTTGTGAAATCTGTTATGTATGGCGGAAGAAAGATAATGAAGATGTTACAAACAAGTCAGCCGACAAAGGCGTTACCTGAGCCACGTCGAAGCAAAGTCGAAAGAATAGTAGAGACTATGAAGAACCAGACACAGCCGAAAGGAACAGAGAAACGCATAGAGTAGTAATTACGCATCCCTTTTAGTCATACTTTAATTCTGTCATATGTACAATGTTTCATACAGCTGTGTTTTAATAAACTTATTTAGTCAAATTGTGACTAACTGTTTTTCCTAAGGATTGTTTAATGCCTTAAGCGCTTTACGATATACTTTTAACGGGACACGATGCGATATTCTTAAGTTTCTTTGTATAAGTATTACTCACGCTGCAGACTAGAAGGATTAGCATTTAAAATTAATTGTCGCTATATACGTATATATATATATCTTACAATACATCTAACAAATTGATTATCTCTATCGAAAATTAAATTTGTCGTACTTTCCAGCGAATAACTAAGTCATGACTACAATGGATTCTGATTCCGAGAGTCAGGACAGCGACGACGGTCGACGTTTTCGCTTTGAAGCCACCCGCAAAGATAACGTCCATCCAGAAGCGAAACTGGGAAAACACTCGAGATCGAAATCGGACTGTAAATCCAGCTACAACGACGCAGAGTATAGAGATAGGAAAGAAAAATCGAAGCACGACAGCAGCAGAAGAGAGCACAGATCTTCGAAAGAGCAGGACGCGACCGACAGGGATCTTAAGCATTCGGGAAAATACTCGAAACACAGCCACGAGTCGAGAAGCTCGAGACGAGAGGACGGCAAGGACTACAGGAGTACGAGGGACGTCAGCATAGACTCGAAAAGCTCAGCCGTGTCCTCGAAGCGTAAAACGAGGGACGCGAAGCGTTACAGAGATCAGGATCGGGGCGAGCATCGTAAGCACAGGTCTCAGGAACGATCGCACAGCAGAACAGAGGACGACAGATCCCAAAACGACAAGTATAGGAACAAATCTCACGAGAAGTACAAGCGGCACTCGCGCGACAGAAGCCGCGACAGGAGCTACCAGTCGCATAAACCGAGATCGTCGGATCATGGCAGATTCCGGGGTGAACTCGAGCGACACAATTCGCACAAGAGAGCGAAAGAGGACGCGGACCAACGGTTACAGGAACTCTCCTCGCCGAAGAACGCGGAACAGGGTCGTACCGACAACGAATTGCTGACGAAAAGAAATTTATCCATGGAGAGTCAAGAGTACAAAGAGCTAGACTTGTCCGAGTTCGACGTGCTATCAGAGACTGACGAGAACTTATCCGATGGTTCGGACGTTGGGAACAAATGTTCGTTATCGAGGCATCACAAGGCAAAGACGAAAAAACGAAATTCGAACGACGAGTGCGAGAATTCAACGAAAAAACAAGCGATAGAAAGCGAACACTCGGAAGGCTCGCCTAAGGTAAATGAAAGGAAGAATGATATGTCGTCTGGTTCCAGTAATAATAATCCTGGTGCCGTTTCAGATTCCGCATTAGGTAGCGCGTCGCCTATATTGACGGAAATCACGGAAGATAGTACGAATATCGTTGACGAAAGATGTAAACCCGAATTAATGAATTTGAACAGCGAGGAAGGAAATTTTAGTTCCACTGAGAAAGCTTCCTTGCGCGTTAGCAATTGCGATTCCCCAAAAGTAACGGATGTCTCTGCCGTTGAAGAAGACTCCTCGTACGGGCCGAGCTTACCACCGCCATTAATAGCTGATTCTTCCAGTAACGCAAAGTCAGTGAAAGCTACGAATTTCATAGGACCTTGTTTACCAGAAATCGACGCGCAAGATCTAACCGAGAGATCCAACGTTGACACGACGAGTGGCAACGATCAAATTGTTTTAAGTCGAGAAGATTCCGATGGCGATGCAGATATTACCTTTGGCCCGGCGTTGCCACCGCATTTGATACAACAAGCGTGTAGCGATGAAACAAAGACGAAAATCATAGGACCCGCTCTTTCGAATTTCGCGAAATTTGAGGATAACAAGGAAACCGAGCAAGCAGAGTCTGAAAACGAAGACGCGATCGGTCCCCTACCGGTCGATCATCCAGCATTGAGGACTAGCAATGTGTATAAACAATTGGAGCAGAGAGCACAACAAATTAAGAATGAGAAGAAAGACGAGGTAACGCAAATCGTAGTTCACGCAACAGCTTTTGTGCAATCCATTTTTTGCTGGAAAACGTGTAACGTTCAATGATATTTCAGGACGATAGTACTTTAAATCAACGAGAGGAGTGGATGACAGAATTACCTCCGGCACAGGTCAGTAATCTAGGACTAGCGCCGCGAAAGTTCCGCGTTAGAGCAGGTCCGGACATGTCCGACAGGTCGTGTTGGACGGACACTCCAGCAAAGAGAGCTGAGAAACAGAGGCAACGGGTAAGCGTTGATACGATCTTTCTTTATCTTTCTTAGAGTCATTGGTAATTACACCTAACGCTGGAAATGTTTCGTCATTTTAGGAGGAGGAGGTTCTTAATAATTTAAAAAAACCGCCCACGGAGCCGACTAAAGAAAGCAACGAGACCGAAAGTGGGAAAAGTAGAAAGCGCGAGAAATCCCTTCTGGAAGTACATCAGAGTAAACTTGAAAAGAAGAAAAAGGTACTTTCGTGACGACCAAATTTCAATGTTTTCATGCTTTGGAAAAATTAATGAGATAAAATATCAATTTCAGAAGGAGGAGAAGAAGGCAAAACTGACCGGGCAAACGATTAGAAGACCGTTCGACAGAGATATCGACTTACAGATAAATCGATTCGATCAAGCTCAGAAGAACGCTGTTATAAGCAAAGCACAATACCTCGACGAAAGGTTTTCACGCGGAAAGATCTAGTAAGATTTTAGTAAATTAGTAACATTTTACAAAGATAATAAGTTTTTGCGCAGTGTACATTTGTAATTTGGCTCACTGTAAGCGATATTGCTAATGAGTGCCTTTAACTACAAATGATGTAATTCGATTTTCATTTACAACGGGATCGAATTCTTTCTCTCTCTCTCTCTCTTTCTCTCTCCTTCTTTTTTTAAATTAACTTTTTTCCACTTGTTCAATGCTTGATGGTTTTATCGATTGTTCGTCACTATAAGTGGCATTGACGTTGATATTATGACGACGCCACTGTTTCGAAAACACGAATTTCTGCATATATATATATATAAATATATATATAGTACATTATGGTGTAAATTCGATTAATTACGCTTGAGATATGTATAAAACGCCTGCATTATACATACATCTTTTTTTATTGACTTTACCGATAATCATATCGACTTAAATCTGTATTGTGTATGTACATTACACTATTGAATTGTATACTTCGTAAATGATCGTTCTTCATGCCTGTGATGTATATATACGTGTAATATTCACCTATTGTATCATAAAACATTGTAATCCAGTAAGTAATCGAACCTCACGTTAAGTAGGAAAACGGAACCATAAAAGACATAACGCTCTACGAACTTCGAAAACGAAATACGCTTCTCCTTTTCTGTTCGTGTATCACAGAATCAACTTTATCTGTGATAAGGGAAAAAAAATGTTTGGAGATATTAAATTTTTAGTCCAATGTAAACAGTTATGATTGCACCACGTGTACTTTAAATATACTTTTTACGAAAACTATTATGTACATTCAATTTGTTTAATGAACCAAATAAAGCTTTTTACTCCGCCTGGAAATACTGGACATCCTCGTATGTGGACTCGAGTGTCTAAGTTATCAATGCGCTTTAGTGTTACGTCTCCTTTAAAATATTTCATCGTGCGTACTATACAGTACTATGTATAGCATCTCCTTTAAGAATTTGGGTAGCTGCCGTTTAAATGGACGCCATACGTTTAAATAGACGCAGGTTAATTCTCTCATGGTACACAAACGACTGTGCCGTGAAAATCGATGAATAACGAGCTGACATTTAATTGAATTTAAATTTAGCGCTTGTACCGCATGTGAATAAGCACGTCCGGCCTTAAGCTCTGTCAGATAATTCCGTGGGAAAATAAAGGAAAACGTATATATGTATGACATCCGCGTGACTTCAGTGATCGGGTTGCGAAAAAAATACGTTTTCAATCAGGGAAGTCGTGCGCTAATCTTTCTCGTGTCACGTACGAACGGTCGACTCTCTTTCTCGTCTCTATTTATGAATGGGGGGCCACTCCGCCGCTGTCGAACACGGTAGCGAACAGTATCCGAGCTCTGACATACTCTGGTGAATCTTACTCGATTATTTAATCATCGTCGCAGTCGATCTTGCGTTGTCGAACGAGTTCTACGCCGCGATTAGTAAACCACGTTGTTTCGTGACATCCTCATAACCTCAAAAAATCGTAGGAGGACGAGGAGAGAGAGAGAAAACAGAAAAAAATAAGGTGTATAAATGACATGCGACGGATGATAGTCCATCTCGCTGCACACTGCTGATAATACCAACGAAAATTACTACGTGTGCGTGGGTGTTGATGTGCGCATACATGTACATATACGCATTACGCCGTTGAACGTCCCCTGCGTGTTGTGCACAGCGTATTTTTCTGGATGAAAAGAAGCGAAAGAATAATCAGTACGTATAGAAGTTATCAACGCGACATGCGTCGAGTAACACGGCTGATAAAGAGGTATTCAGGGTTAAATCTGCACGGATTTCGCTTCCTTCGCCGTACCTGATTACTACGCGCATGTATATATGTGCACCGTCTTCGTGTCTGTATGGATGTCATCTTTCTTTTTTTTTTCACGTCGATTGATATACACACAGAGAAAGCCATTATCGTCATCTATTCCGTTCGTCAATCTGTCAAACTTCGTACGTTGTATTTACAATCTTGTCCTTTTTTTTTTTTGACCGCTGACTCAGGTACGACTACCTGTACCCTTCTGTTTACGGATTCGTTTATCGAGCTATTAATCGATGTAGTGTTTTTATACCGCTTTATAGGAAGCATTACGAATAAATGTTTTCACGTTGCGACGTTTTTGCGTATCTGTGTTTCCTGATTTGATTTTATTTGTTTACCTAAACTGAATCAAAAACTGCCACACGAGGCATGAATAAGTTTTTTCTTTTTTTTTTTCGAAATCACCGTGAAATTTGTTACGTAGGAAACGTTGAAATTGAACGAATAAATTAACGACGTTTTCGTGATATGGAGATACCTCCAATTTGCTGCTTTTCATCGACGAGAATGTAATAAATGACATGTAATTATGACGTGGAGAATGTTTTTTGTTTTTTAGTAAATATACGTGCAGTTAATAAGCTGCTCGATACCAGCTGTGTTGTACCTTTTATTTTGCACATTATGCACTGCGTTACGAGTACATACATTGTATTCATTTTTACAGGACTGCTGTATCCTATACCTTGTGATGGATACATTGCTATCATTGAATTGAATGTAGCATATGATGATTCGCACAAAGAAATTTTTAATGGAATATTAAAGTTGACAGGACGGGGTATATTTCTGATATTTTAAAAGATGAGACAGTGTTGCGTAAACCATCAACTTCAGCTATGGCTTTTGTTACTTGTTGTTTGCGTTGTGTACAACAGAGCAGATATTTTGGTATTTTCTGCAGCCGCGAGGCATCAGATAGAAGAGGAATTTAGAGATATACCAGCCAGATTTGGCGGCTTAATACCATCAGAGGGAATTAAGGTATTTATTGTTTGATTGTACTTTGTATTGTATTCACATTCATGGTAAATTTTATTAGGGTATGGTGGTATATGCGGACCCACCCCCAGCTTGCCAAGAAATACAGGGTCCTCCAAATATTACCGGTTACAATGGTAATTGGATAGCTTTAATTTCTCGCTATAATTGTACCTTTGAAGTAAAAGTTCGAATGGCACAGAAAGCTGGATATGATGCTGCAATTATACATAATGTGAACAGCAATCAGCTAGGTAAATGTATATATTATACAATTAAGCAACAATTTTAAATATAGATCTCAAAGTTAATTGTAAAGATCTACGATAGTTAATGCAATTATGCCTCAAGTCTTTGGATAAATGCATAAACATAAATGTATATATGTATATGTATGTATATATGTATATATATTTTTTTGTAGAACCAATGGTGGCTGAACATCCTACAGGGATATTAATACCATCTGTATTTGTCAGTGAAATCACAGGATTAATTATTAAAGAAAATTATTTATACGACGAGTTATATTTTGTACTCATTAACAATGATACACCGTTCAATATTACACATTTACTTTTGCCTTTTGCTATTGTTCTTGGGTTATGCTTTCTAGTCATGATTATTTTCATGGTAAGGCTGGATAGTAAACTATTGAGTGACGTTAAAATTATCGTGCCTTCGATAAGTATCCATATTCAAAACATCTTCTTAAACATTGTAGATCGTCAGATGTATTAAGAATAGAAGAAGGCAACAAAGACATATGTTACCTTACTCGAGTTTAAAGAAAATCCCTACGCACAAATATACAAAAGGTGATCCATACGAAACATGTGCTATTTGTTTAGATGACTATATAGAAGGTGAAAAATTAAGAGTTCTGCCTTGCGCCCACGGTTAGTATATTCATTACGAGATTAAATATCTTTTTTATCATCGTTATAAATATTTTCAGTGGGATTAATCTCAATTAATTTCAGCGTACCACGTGAAATGTATCGACCCTTGGTTGACGAAAAATCGTAGGGTCTGTCCGGTCTGTAAACGAAAAGTTTTTGCAGCGGACGAACAAGTTGTTACTGACGAAAGTGATTCAGACGCTGACGATACGACACCTCTATTTCGTGACGGTCATCGAGGTATGGGCATCGCGATATCGAGGCTTTCGCGATTGATCTTAATCGAAATGACGCGAAAGTAATGAAAAATGTTTCGTTAGGCACCCAGGGTGGAACGTTTACATCGCATGAAAATCCATGGTTGGTTAGAATATCGCGTGGCAGATCCCAAACTGGACAGTTGTCGAATCAGTCGAGTAGCAGTTCTGATTCCGAAGAATCTCTTTATAATGACGTGGACGATGTGAGCGTTGGAGAACGATCTAATGGAACTGTCTTCATGGTATCGGGTACCCTTAGCATCAACGGTAAGAAATTTTCATTATTCTCAACTATTTCGCTGCAAAGTAGACCACGTTTAGGACTTTAATGATTTAATATTAGGTGAATTACCAGAAGCAGAACGTACTGCGAGCAGTGCAAACCCTGTAGTACAGTGAATTTACATACAGCCGTTCATGGATTTGCAGCGTCTATCGTTCATGTTACTGCAGGTCGTAATAAACAGATCGAGACTACGAACCTAAGTACAGTGGATTCCGAAAGACACGACAGTTGTGCGTACGATTTTCGTAGGTTCCCGGTTTATTGTCCTTTGCGGGACGTTCGTTGTCTGTCACGGATAAGATCTACGCATACTTTTACATGGTATTACGAGACTTGACAGAGGAATGCTAGAAATACACGATCGTGAAGCGGAAGAGCATTTTTCATGTTTTAAAGATTTGATTTTTTTTTTTTTATTTGAAATAAGTGAAGTGTCGGGCATACTTTTTTTTTGTCATAAGTGTTGAAAAGTTAATATATAAATCTGACTCTTTATGTGACAAGCATCGCTCTTCAAGCATTTTTTTTACACCCCGTATTTTATATAAAGGTAAATAGAAACGTTACTATCGAGGATGGTTGGTCTACCATTATTCTATCGATAAGAATCATTGCTTACCCCATCAGCTTGCTTCGATTAAAGGTCGCTTTAGACACATTGTTAATAATTACTTGATAGTTAAGACTGCAAATTATTTTTTAGCCGTACATCCGAGAAATCAAATGTTTCGAATAGCGCGAAGCGAATTACGATACCGCCATCTTCGAAATATTGTTTTACTCGAATGCGTTGCATTCACAGTTTTATGGCCTACGTATTTTACGTTTGCGCATAAACTACCGATTTTTGCGTACGTTTACCTCCTCTGTTTAGTTACCACAGCATGAATACTTTTTCTTCTTTAATCTATACGAATATAAATATCTTCGAATAATCGAATATTTTCAGCTATTTCATTAACGCTAAATGACGATCACTGGTGATATATAGTAAATTACGGTGTAAGATGTACCTTGGCGACATAGGCCGCGATATATGAATTTATAAATATTATTTGTTACTACATATACATATATACATATATATATATATAAATAACTTTAAAGACCAAAAATAGAATTCCTTTTAATCCAGGACGTATAGAGTTTAACCAAAAAATTGTAAACTCGTAACGATTAACACTTTCAAACGTCAGGGGCGTTACGTCGATCGAGCCGAATCTTTAGAATTTAAGTGTCCCGAAGTGTAACGCTGATGAAACAATTTTACAAGGAAATATAATGAAATTTCAGCAGTACTTGTTCGAATTCGTTCGTTTCTGTGTAACTAAGTAATACAGAATAACGTTACCGTGTTTCGTATAACTAATCATTTTTCTTTTTTTTTTTCTACGCAAATTCTGTACGTTTATATGTGTAACTCTAATTAGTGCCTACGGTCGTTTCCTAATTGTGAATTATCACGTGTCCGAAACCATAAAAATTTATGTGTGTCGATGGCGTTTCACCGTATTAAGTTACACTCTTTCGAAAGAATGGAATGAAGGTTGTACAAAACTGTGTATATAGTTAGTATGAGAAACTTTGTTATGTATATATACATATATATGTATATTGTACAATATCGAGGATTTAACTTTTACTTGATTACTACTACGACGTCTGAATCGGAAAATTAGACACGCTATTGTCTTATTGTTCAACGTTAGGTGTATTGTCCAAATAAAAATAAAAAGTATTTATATTTTGTATTTTACATCATGCTTCTGGTATCCTTGTGGGTGAAAGCATACGATGAACTCTATCCGAATTATTTTTATTTAATTTGGGTAATGAACTTTTGAAAAGAATCCGTGAAGTATTAAGATTTTGATTATGCAAGTAAATAAACAATGTATCGTACATAAGATAGAGATATTTGATTAAATATTATCCTCTCTAGGAACGTACATACGATAAAGATAAGATAATATTTTGGAAAATATTTGAGGTATTATATCAGCACGTTGTTTATAATTCTGCTGCTCGAGATATTACCGTGGTTTACCATTTAGGTAAAATGGAAACGGTTCGCGCAAACAAAGGGAACGTATCGGCGCTCGCAATGATTATCTCTTATCGCGTTAAGTAGTTTTCCGGGTTTCTGCATCCTTTCATAAAAGAATCGAAGATTTTCAAACGATTATCTTGATCGTCAACGGAACAACAAAGGAATGGCAGCCGAAGAGGACGCTTCGGAACGACCTCGCGTGCTTTATTTTTGCAAGAAACGAGTGTTACTCGAGCATGGAGCGAAGATAAACACATTGACCTTCGAACCTCGTCGTCGAGAAGAATTCTATATTGGAGCGACTCAACGAGTGTATTCCAACGATTAATCGGGGTCGTTTCCGACCCATGTAACATTTCTCTTATCTATGCATCCCAGAATAAACATTTTTATCAGACTTTTATTTCTCTACTATAACCTACGATTCCTAACCGTTCTTCTTTCAGATATTAGTAATTAACGAATGGAGAAAAAGAAGAAGGAAAGAAGAAGGAAAGTTTTTTTTCCCAGGGAAGCAATTTCTCTGGAGTAATTGAATTGACATTGAAACGAATTCTTGGCATGACTAATACGAGGTGGCATATAAAAAAGAAAGAAGCAGGATTCTGTAGCGATTAGCCCGACCTAAAGAGAGTAAGAGGCAAGTAGGAAGGGGAGCGACGCGGGGCCGTTGGAAAAGGGGGCAAAGTGTAAGAAAGTTCTGCGGTTGCATAGAGGGAAGAGGTTCTAACGGTGTTCCGTTGAGAGAGAGCGAGAGTGGCCGCGCGTGACGGCACAATGCCGTTTGAATTCGTCTCCTCGTTGTGTTGAGAAAAAATCGCTCAGAGACGGCCGCGATGGCGAGGAGAGATCGTGCCTCGGCTCCTCGTGGTGCTCCGGTCCTCTCCACCTTCGCTATCACAGCAACCCCGATTCTTTTCCACCACCCGTTTGAGGATCTTTCTTACCCGTCCTCTCGATCGTCTCCTCTTACTCGCGACTCGTGTTCGACTCGTCCCTACCACTCCACCCCGTCGCGGCTTATTTAGAAGCGGGCCACCGAATCAGGCACGTTCGATGCCCACCGAGAGTTGGCTTCCAGTTACGACACGTATGCAACTAATTGCGGATACGTTCACATGAGTCGCGGACATATTTCTACAGACTGCGGAGCTTCCAGCTCGCATGACACACGTAGGTCCACTCTCGGTGGAAAGATTTAACACTCTGAGCTTGAACACGAGGAAAGCTTGAGAGCTTGAGAAAACGTGCAATTTATATTAACGATGATTGGACGACGTTAAGATGACACGAATCTTTAGACGAGTGGCGTGTACATTAAGTATGCAATTACTGTACGTGCACTTTAAATATGTAGGAGAAATATGTTTAGAAACGGGCGCTGATTACTTTGGATCCGTGTAGTTTATCGTAATACTGTTTTCGTTCGAAACGGGGAATCGAAATTTTGTTGCACCGATTGCAGGCGTGCGTTCGCAGCGCTCTTCGGTAAGACGTTGCGTAACCGAACGTTAATTGTTACGCGTTCATTGACAATGCTTGTTTTAAACACGACGCACCAGGTATTACGCAACGGTTATTCCTCCTTGATTATACGGAAGCGGTTATAACAACAAAGCATTGGACGAACTAATGGAGAACACGTCGACCAGTGCCCGGCGTTGGAGCTGCTGAAGCAACACCTGATGGCGCACCTCTTAAGGTCACCTTGAGGATCTTCAAGGTCGCCAATATATTTTTTTTAACGAAATCATTTATCTGTATCGTTATGACTAGACTGCGGATCTTTCGGCAAAATAAAACGTTTGTAAACGTACCTACAAAAACTGAATCTAAATAGGAATTTATTTTACTCTGTATTATATGAATTTTACTCTGTATGAATTTTACTTTCAATATTTTTTATATTATCGGCTACTGCGCCCATCCTATTTTCTTGCAGATTTTCTTTTCGTTCAGATTTTCTATAAATGCATAAAAGTCCGAAGTCTAGTTACGACATCGCAGCAGATTTCAAGACGAGTACGGGTGATACACGATGCTACAAGTAACCTCCAGCAATGATTACTCGTACAAATTCAGGTTAACAGAGTCTGTACCGCACATTTTAACACAATCTGTACATGCATGCACGCTTATACTTGAGACGAGGCACGAGTACTCATTATTTAGTCGACAAACGGCATTGTCCCAATTAGGCATGTCGATTTTGTAACGATATTATTACTCATCGGTATCGAGTCATATCGCCTCGCGAACAATAAGCTACGGTTCGTTGATTGCGAAAGGACAGCGCGCCGTTTCTTTCGCTTCGTTTAGATTGCGATTAGTTTGCTTACAAAGAGATTATCGCCCGCGGAACGATTTACGGGGGGAACTGACGATTAGCAGAAATTCAGTGTCGCTTCATTCTACATTAGACACGCCAGACGAGGAAACACTACTCTGGATAAAACTAGTTCTATATAAAAATACTTATATTCTACGAACAATGTAACGCTCACAGCCTCTATCTTAAGAGCTCGAGGTCTTAACGAATAAACACCATCTGCAACGCAAGATGGTATTCAAGGGTTATTTCTAAGACGAGGAAACACGCTAATCTGGATAAAACTACTCCTCAGTGTCGCTTCATTCTACATTAGACACGCCAGAGCTCAGTCATTTTTAACGCGATTGCATCAGGCTACTTTAACCCTTACACAATGATACCCTTCTTATTTAATACATTACATCAAAATATTTCCTTCTAAGCATGGTCCCATAGATTCATTGACTGCACGGAGTGGTCAGAGACGACTCGAAAAATATTTAACAAAGCCACGGTTCGTTCCAAGTCTGAATCTCCTTTTCCAAGCTTTTATTTATAACAGAATTCAACTACAATCCCGACTTAACGGGATTACGCCTGTATCCTGCGATTTTCAAATAACTGCGATGCTCTGCGCTACATACTTATCGGCGATCCGGGGTTCTCAATCAGAAAGCATCGTAAATCCGATGGAAAAGTAACACGAGAAAGGTAAATACCTAACTCTAACGAATATTTCAACGATACGTGAATTTTTATTGTTTTCAATACCTGCTAAAGTAACGCCATTGCGTGAGTTAAAAAAAAAAATAAAATAAAATAAACTGACACGCGAGTGACCTAATTTTGAGATGTGCGAGACGTGCGCGCGAGTGTAACATTTATTTTTATTTTACAGTTCATTTCGTTGGGATCCCCCCCGTCCTTAAGGAAGTAGGTAAACAGTCGCTTTCAAGCGACGCCCGACATTATTATTTCCTGCGTTTATTAACACGCCTCGATCATTCTTCGTGGCCCATTTCTGGGAGCAATACTCATCTATACGACAGTTACTATGTTTTACATAAGGAATTTCAATTACGCAAACATTTTCTTATTTGTACGTTATGTGCATTCCTCTCGAATCGAGAGGAATTTATAATTTAATATTCGGCATAGATGCGTTTGCGTAATCTCTGTATCGCCGTCCGTAGGGAGTACGGTACTTAAACGTATCTATGCAAATTCAATCTGGTACACGTTCGCGCATCTCGACGCGCGTGAAATGCACGTCTGACGTTCTTAAATTTTCGATATCGTTCGATTTTCGTATCCTCTGTCAAGACTCCGCGTTTAGCATTTTTATAGGACCAGACGCGGTCGTATAGCGATCGCGACACTGGCAACATGCCGACGGTGTCGTTCTTAGGAGTGTTTTCGAGTCCTCTTACGCGTCTACGATTGCAAACATCATCTTGGGAGGAAATTTTTCTTGTACAAACGTCCAGACCTCGGAGGCTGCGAGCTCTTAACGAATAAACACCGTCTGGAATGTAAGATGGCATTCAAGGGTTATTCCTAAGACGAGGAAACACGCTAATCTGGATAAAACTAGTTCTATATACAAATACTTATATTCTACGAACAATGTAACGCTCGCAGCCTCTATCTTAAGAGCTCGAAGTCTTAACGAATAAACACCATCTGCAACGTAAGATGGCATTCAAGAGTTATTCCTAAGACGAGGAAACACTACTCTGGATAAAACTAGTTCTATATAAAAATACTTATATTCTACGAACAATGTAACGCTCGCAGCCTCTATCTTAAGAGCTCGACGTCTTAACGAATAAACACCATCTGCAACGTAAGATGGCATTCAAGGGTTACTCCTAAGACGAGGAAACACTACTCTGGATAAAACTAGTTCTATATAAAAATACTTATATTCTACGAATAATGTAAGGCTCTCAGGCTCTATCTTAGGAGCTCGAGATTTTAACGAATAAATATCATCTGCAACGTAAGATGGCATTCAAGGGTTATTCCTAAG